TGCTATTGTGAACAGAGCTGCGATAAACATGGGTGTGCATATATCTGCTTGGATGTCAGTTATGGTCTCTTTGGGATATATTCCCAGTAGTGGAATTGCTGGGTCAAATGGTATCTCTGTTTGCAAATTTTTGAGAAAGTGCCATACCACCTTCCGCAGTGGTTGCACCATAAACTTTTGTTTTAAGGCCCTTGTCTTAGATGGTGTTGCCAATTGTTTGTTCCCATATGGTAGGTTTTCTTTTTACCCTGTTGGAAAAGGTTTTTGATGTGCACAGAGATTTATTCTTTAGAAGAACCCATTTATCATTTTTATCCTCTGCAGACCATGCATTTCTGGCTCTGTTTGTCAGCCTCTTTATATCATTGACCAGGCTTTTTAAGCTTGGTCCAAGTTTGTCTCTTATGTACTTTATGGTTTGGAGTTTTACTCCCAGGTCTCTGAACCACCTTGACTTGATTTTTGTGTATGGTGTGAGATGTGGATCCTGTTTCAGCTTTCTGCAGGTAGAAGTCCAGTTTTGCCAGCACTATTTGTTTAAGATGTTGTTATTTCCCTATTTGATAGGTTATATTTCCTTGTCTAATATACATTGACCTTAGATAGATAGGTCCATTTCTGGGTTCTCAGTTCTGTTCCATTGGTCTGTGTGCCTCTCATTTTACTAGTACCATGCAGTTTTGGTTACTACCGCTGTATAGTAGGTTTTAAGAGCAGGGAGTGATATGCATCCCACTTCATTTTTGTTTTTCAGAAGTGCTTTGTTTATTCTAGATCTCTTTTCTTTCCAAATAAACTTGACAATTTCCCTTTCTATCTCCTTGAAAAGTGAATTTGGTATCTATATTGGAATTGCATTGAACATGTAGATTGCTTTGCATAGGATTGTCATTATCACAGTATTGAGTCTTGCTATCCATGAACAAGGAGACTTTTTCTATTTACTTAGGTCTTTATAGTGTCTCACAGAAATGTTCTGTAGTTTTCTTTGTGCACGTCTTTTGTGTCTCTAGTTAGGCTCATTCCCAAGTATCTCAATTTGTGGTTGGCTGTTGTAAATGATAATGCTTTCTGGGTTTCCTTCTCTGGCTTCTCTTTGTGGTAACACAAAGCTTCAAAATCCTAGCCTCCAAAGAGAAAGTTGTTTTTTCCTTCTCCAGGACAAACCTATTTGTTTTCTTGGCAGTCCTTATTATGTTCAAAACTCTTCTCCAGCACCACAACTTGAAGGCATCAATTCTTCTGTCATTCTTAGTCACTATCCAGCTCTCTGATACATAGCAAGTAATTGCAAATACCATGGCCTGGATTGTGCGCACCTTAGTCTCTAGACTGACATCGTTGCTCTCCAGTACTCTGGAGAGGTCCCTAACAGCAGATTTTCCCAATGCAGTTCTAAAGGCCTGTTTATTATTTGCCTCAGTCTTTCTATTCTTAGAAGAAGTTGTGATGTATGAGGATGCCACAGGTTCAGGCAGTATTCCCAGGCAGTATTCCCATCTCTGTATATAGGGTCTGTGAGAACGGACTCAAAGGCACCTAGTAACAGTTGTTTAATTGAATGTTGAGTGACAGGGATGATATCTGTTCCTGTCTTGAAAGGTAACTTTTATCAGAAGGCATAGAATTTCTATTTTACAAGTAAAAGAGAAAATTCCTCAATTACACAAGTAAGGATTAGATAAAGATCAGGTATCATTTTATGTTTTTGCTTATGGCTGGAAGAAGTCAATCTACTGAAAACACTGTAAATTAAAGAAGGAATGCTTTTAAATAAGATAATTATGTCATTTTCATTATTTCATTTTAACTAAAAGCCTAAATGTCAGTATGTCTTCTGTATAAAATTATCTTTCTTTTCTTTATTCAGGATCTTGGATGTCCGAGATTTTATTATACGGTCCCGTCCTGAATTCGCAGCTCTTGACTTTATTCTTGTGACTTCATTTCCAAACAAAGTGCTCACAGATGAAAGCCTGACACTGCAAGAGGCAGATGTTCTCAACACTGTGATACTCCAGCAGCTGAAGTGATCTTGTTCCTACCTATGCACAAGAATGCAGGAATAACTCACGTGCCATATAAACAAGAAGCATACTTCTTCCAGCATCAAACCAACCAAATTATTTTTATTACTTTTACAGATAAATTTTGTTTTTTCTTATTCTGTCTTCAAGCCTTAGTATAGATAAACCCAGACTAGGCCTGGGTCCTCAGATAAGTAGATTTGAGTTTTTAGTTACAGAGCTGGCTGATACTGATAACTTGGGGGAAAAAAATCCAAGCAAACTAAATGTGTGATATGCTCAGTGTTAATGTAACAATATTTGTTAATAAAGTCACAAACTCCTTTTTGATAAATACCTTTGATAAAATTTCTTGATGCTGCATTGACCAACAGCCATTAAGAAATCATTAATAATAATTTTTGATTAGTAGGCTAAGAATTTTATGTTTCTGTTATTTAA